GCCCAAGCAGCAAGGGCGTTAAGGCTTTCTTTTCTTGCTTGAATCAACTTCCTAAACCTCTTCCTGCTCATTGACTATTGGGATAACTTGAATATGACTATGTTAAGGTTTAAGATAACCCGGGAAAGGATGGAGTTCTTTCTTTTTAGAATGTATATCTCGTTCTTGGAGTTGCCGGTGCTTTACACTTATTTTCTTCCTGATTCAACCTGAACTACGTGAGAGAGCTCAAAGCTAGTCGAATCCTTACTTTTTGTTATCCCGCTCCTCCACTAGGATCAGAAGTAACGGCTACTAACTTTGGATCACTTTCATCCGCATTTCTTTTTTTTCCATTAGAAGGGGCTTTCGCCTGTTCCCATTCTGATTCTGTAGGTTGAGCTTTCGCATCCAACTTAGCAGAAAAATACAGTATTCCCGCTTAGCCGATATGGACATGACATAGACCTGAAAGCAATCTTAATTAGCTCAAGAAAGAAGAAAAAGCTAATTGGAGAGTAGGTCAAATCAAAGTCTTGAAGCTGACTGAGAAAGCTGGAATGCTAGAACTGATAGGGCTGCTGGAAGGCTAAGGTTCCGAATGGAAGGAATCGAAAGCATTGAAACCGGCATTGACCACTTCACATTACAAGACTTGACGTAGACTGCTGGATTACTACAAGATAAAGCAGTGACCCAGACTCAGACGATCGCAAAATCCCTATATTTTGACTAGATAGCAGATTCAATCGTCTTTTGTCCTAGCCGATGCCATCCTAAGATTAAGGAAGGATCCCTATAGTCATATGACTTTTTATAAAACCTTTTTACTCGGAAGGAAATTTGTAGACAACAAATTGAGACTTTGCCGAAAAAGTACCTCAATAGATCAAAGGAAGCCTTAGCTCAGGATCACGAAAACGCCAATAGCGCTTCCCTTGCTTCATCGGTTGGATTGGAAAAGCCAACTTGACCGCCGGCGCGGAAACAAAGAGAATCGAAAGACAATCGCACCAAGAGGACGGACTTCTTTTTTATTGGCTGGCGACATCTGGCCACATTCTTGATTATCAATAACGGGGATCCAATCCCAATCCATGTGATGAAACTAGCCATTAGCGGAGCTACGGTCTATAAGACTTATTCTCCTAAAGCACGTCTATCTATGCATCTCTAACAACTTATTTTGCGATATACTTCTTAATTAAAATAAAAATAACGGGGTAGCTGCGAGAAAATCATAGCTCGTTTAGGGCTTAGGCTTGTGGCTACTCCTTGTGGATACGACATTCCATTGCCTAACAGGCCGGCTTCTATCAAAATAGGATGGCCTCTATCAACACCTGCTTACGCTGCTAAGGTTCCTAATATTTATACGAAAGTCTTTATGGAAATGACTTTCTTAATGAAAATCTGATCAAGCCTTCCTTCCCTTACTATATGGATTTATCAGCAGACAGACCTTCAGTCAAGGTCCTGGATTCTGAGGGCTCTCTTGAGACTTGGTTATGTAACTCACAATATACGTCTAATAATGCCCCTTATTACTGGTGGAAGATCCTATTCCACGTTCTCATCTTAACTATTATTTTATAGACCAGGATTGAAATCGCTCTTTCTATTCTTACTACGCGAGGGGAAAGGCTCATGCTACTCTTCCTGTCATATTGGATTCTTATGAAGCTTATGTCAATCTAGTCTGCGGTGAAGGCTATCAAAGTTCTGTCTTCAGGCATCCCCGGTTCCTTAGGAAGTTAGTCTGGTCGCATGACCTTAGGTCGCTTATCATGCGATTTCATTTCTTCACGTTCACCAGACTAGCAATTTCTTTCTCTTTGTCTGTCACAGGGAAAAGAACAGGGATGGGAGCGGGAAGAAGTTCTCACTGCTGCTGCTATCAGAGAATCGAATCGGGAATAAGATTTAGGGGACCCCTACTGTTTAGTATCAGGTGGTACTTTAGGTGATTAAGCCGATTCCCCGGCAAACTGATGCATCTAAGGTGGAAAGTGCTTGATATGATTCTAAGAGCCCTGTCAAGGCGGCTAATAGTAATTTCAGTATCCGATTGATTTCCAGTTACTGGTACTATTGCTGATTCCCCAGTGGGGTAGGAAGGGAAAGGACTGAACCATCATCTAGAAATGCTGCCCGGGAATAGGATGTTGTATCCGATTTAAAGTAGGGTGTTGGCACTTATGCTTCTCGTACCAGTTGGAAGAGATTCCCCGGCAGTTAGGGCACCAGCAACTATGGCATATCCCACAGCTGCTATAAGAGAATCTTAAGCTGGCATTCAAAGGTAAGGTGGAAGAGCTCCTTCTTAGCTGCGTACTGAAGCGGATTAGCACAAATGTGATTCTATTCATTCTGCCCGGGTCGATGTAATTGATAAAGTTGGAACAGCAGCAGATTACCCGGCAGCAGCTAGAGTTGGAACTTCTGGAATGGACTGATACCCGTAGAGTGACACGATAACCGGAATCTATCAATTCCCTTTCTAGTACCAATAGGAACATCA